AAACATCTCTTGCTAAAATATAATAAACAGAATGACCCATGGGCAGTTAGTTACCAACTAACTAGTTGGGAATTCAAAAAGCCGGATTAAAGTCTGCATTCAGTCAATTATGCAGCTATAATGTGGATTATATATATTATAAAAACAGCAAATGAATCATTCTGAACATCTATGACTAAAATATTATAAACCGAATGACCCATGGGTAGGTAGTTACCAACTAACTAGTTTGGAATTCAAAAAGCCGGATTAAAGTCTGCATTCAGTCGATTATGCAGCTATAATGTGGAACATATATTATAAAAACAGCAAATGAATCATTCTGAACATCTGACTAAAATATAATAAACCGAATGACCCATGGGTAGGTAGTTAGTTACCAACTAACTAGTTTGGAATTAAAAAATCTGTAAACAGAATGACCCATGGGTAGTTAGTTATGGCTAACTAATTTGGGTATTTAAACATCCTGATTAAAGTCTGCATATGGCCAATTACTCAGTTATAATATGGAATTTATATGATAAAAATGGCAAACAAATCATTCTAAACATCTCTTGCTAAAATATAATAAACAGAATGACCCATGGGCAGTTAGTTACCAACTAACTAGTTGGGAATTCAAAAAGCCGGATTAAAGTCTGCATTCAGTCAATTATGCAGCTATAATGTGGAACATATATTATAAAAATAGCAAATGAATCATTCTGAACATCTGACTAAAATATAATAAACCGAAAATGACCCATGGGTAGGTAGTTAGTTACCAACTAACTAGTTTGGAATTAAAAAATCTGTAAACCGAATGACCCATGGGTAGGTAGTTAGTTACCAACTAACTAGTTTGGAATTAAAAAATCTGTAAACCGAATGACCCATGGGTAGGTAGTTAGTTACCAACTAACTAGTTTGGAATTAAAAAATCTGTAAACCGAATGACCCATGGGTAGGTAGTTAGTTACCAACTAACTAGTTTGGAATTAAAAAATCTGTAAACCGAATGACCCATGGGTAGGTAGTTAGTTACCAACTAACTAGTTTGGAATTAAAAAATCTGTAAACCGAATGACCCATGGGTAGTTAGTTACCAACTAACTGGTTGGGAATTCAAAAAGCCGGATTAAAGTCTGCATTCAGTCGATTATGCAGCTATAATGTGGAACATATATGATAAAAACAGCAAATGAATCATTCTGAACATCTATGACTAAAATATAATAAACTGAATGACCCTTTAGACTAGATTAGGTTGAGTTTCACAGAACTCGTTGAGTTTCTCTCTCCAGCTGTTGACTTCCTGTTAGCAGCGGTTCTCTGGAGTAAAACCGAACACGGCACAATCTGACCCGATATTCCCCGAGCGCACAGACGAGCGCAGACCAAATCATGGGATTCACCAGCAGTCACTATTTGGCAGCGAGTGAATGAGATTGTGTTCAATTAAAGATTCATTGATTCAGTGACTCAGAATCAGAGCGGCTGTCTCTCCTGGTGAAGCTCAAGATCGTTCCGGATCCCATGATGTGATTTCAGCTCTGCGTGCGTCGTCCGATCAGGGAGCCGTTGCATATTCGTTTGCTTTAGTGCTCGTTTACTCCGAACGAATCCGGCGGCTACAGCTGGTCGATTGTTTTCCTCCCACGAGTCGTAAAGTGCTATAAGAGATGCCGCATGCGAACCCCAGCCGAAGAAATCCTTTACGTTCTAAACATCAATGATTGTGAATTCAGGTTTCTAGAATCTAGAATAAAATTAAGGCAAATACATTTAAGAAACCGAAGCTAACACTAGTTAATCTAGTTGAAAAACGACTACCGTTGATCTCTAGAACTCTCAGCGATGTTCCTCCGGCTGATTCAGATTTGTTCAGTCGAGCTGTGAAGCAAAGTCGGTTAACTCACTCGCACTCATCATTAACCAGCGTCCAGGACACTCACACCATCTGTGGACCGATCACAAGCCGAGGCCTGTCATATCGTTGTATTAAAAATAGTGCAATTTTAGACATTTATATAAATAACTCTAAAACCGTGCTTTTAAGTTTGTTTTTCAGTTTTCCATATACATGTATATATATTTATATAGTAGCCTATACACACACACACGTACATTAACGCTGCAGGAACAGCGTGAGGCTTCAACTCTCTCTCTGACCGCAAACAACTGAACAAACACTTCCATATCTGCTCCAAAACAGTCGGATGCTTTGAATATTGTGCAAAGCTCTCATGAGGAAGTCATGCACATTTAACAGAAGGAGAACTGTGATGAAGAATCACAAGATTGCGATTACGGTTTCTAAGAGGAAGACCAAATTTTCCCCATCACTGAAAGGAAGCGTTTTTGTTTGTTGTCAGAGTTTGAGTACAGAGAGACTAAGAGCACTGAGGACAAACAACACGTAAATATTTATAGAAAGTCTGAAGCGCTGCCTCTCGGGCAACAACAGGGGCCTCATTTATATTTGTTAAAACTGGCTTTGACGAGGAAAAGTGCTTAGCGTCACGTCAAGACACTTTTTCTTGTCGGAGTACTGCAGGTTTTAGGAAATATAAGCTGTTCTTGCAGCTCTAAATTAAAGAATTTGGACGATGACTGGTGATCTTTTATATGTTAATGACATCAATTCGGAGTCGTTTACAAGGCAGAGATACGTACGCATAGGGTTGGGAATCGAAAATCAATTCCAATTCCAGAATCGGATATTTGTTGTTAAACTAAGATTTCAATTCCACCCATCAATTCCTGTGTGCGCATCTTTTTTTTTCTAGGTGGTGAAAAGGGGCTGTTAAAAATTTATTTGTCTTTGAATCATTCATTCAAAAACACTGAATCATCCAGTAATGAATCAAGTGAATCTTGAGTGAGTCATTGAATCATTCTTCTTCAGAATTGTGAGAGAACTACCTCCTCCATTTAAAAAAAAAAAAAGTCTCAATTGTGTGGCTCTATTTTTGCACACAAACAGCTCTTAATCGAGTCCAGTTTTTATGCAGCCGGCTGATTTTTGTTCTTGGTATTCAGCAGCAATTAAATGTTTTGCAAAAAGACAGAATAAATGTGACCTTGGATCACAAAACCATCTGAACCAAATCATCTGAAAGCTGAATAAATAATCTTTCCATTGATGTATGGTTTGTTAGGATAGGACAATATTTAGCTGAGATACAACTATTTGAAAATCTGGAATCTGAGGGTGCAAAAAAATCTAAATATTGAGAAAATCATCTTTAAAGTTGTTCAGTTCTAAACATCAATGATTGTGAATTCAGGTTTCTAGAATCTAGAATAAAATTAAGGCAAATACATTTAAGAAACCGAAGCTAACACTAGTTAATCTAGTTGAAAAACGACTACCGTTGATCTCTAGAACTCTCAGCGATGTTCCTCCGGCTGATTCAGATTTGTTCAGTCGAGCTGTGAAGCAAAGTCGGTTAACTCACTCGCACTCATCATTAACCAGCGTCCAGGACACTCACACCATCTGTGGACCGATCACAAGCCGAGGCCTGTCATATCGTTGTATTAAAAATAGTGCAATTTTAGACATTTATATAAATAACTCTAAAACCGTGCTTTTAAGTTTGTTTTTCAGTTTTCCATATACATGTATATATATTTATATAGTAGCCTATACACACACACACGTACATTAACGCTGCAGGAACAGCGTGAGGCTTCAACTCTCTCTCTGACCGCAAACAACTGAACAAACACTTCCATATCTGCTCCAAAACAGTCGGATGCTTTGAATATTGTGCAAAGCTCTCATGAGGAAGTCATGCACATTTAACAGAAGGAGAACTGTGATGAAGAATCACAAGATTGCGATTACGGTTTCTAAGAGGAAGACCAAATTTTCCCCATCACTGAAAGGAAGCGTTTTTGTTTGTTGTCAGAGTTTGAGTACAGAGAGACTAAGAGCACTGAGGACAAACAACACGTAAATATTTATAGAAAGTCTGAAGCGCTGCCTCTCGGGCAACAACAGGGGCCTCATTTATATTTGTTAAAACTGGCTTTGACGAGGAAAAGTGCTTAGCGTCACGTCAAGACACTTTTTCTTGTCGGAGTACTGCAGGTTTTAGGAAATATAAGCTGTTCTTGCAGCTCTAAATTAAAGAATTTGGACGATGACTGGTGATCTTTTATATGTTAATGACATCAATTCGGAGTCGTTTACAAGGCAGAGATACGTACGCATAGGGTTGGGAATCGAAAATCAATTCCAATTCCAGAATCGGATATTTGTTGTTAAACTAAGATTTCAATTCCACCCATCAATTCCTGTGTGCGCATCTTTTTTTTTCTAGGTGGTGAAAAGGGGCTGTTAAAAATTTATTTGTCTTTGAATCATTCATTCAAAAACACTGAATCATCCAGTAATGAATCAAGTGAATCTTGAGTGAGTCATTGAATCATTC